AGAGAAACGGCAAGTATCTTTTGCTGTCTTCCAATTTGAGGGACCAGCCCGAGCATGGTGGAACGTAATAAAGGTTAAGTGGGAACGAGAGCAGACCCCCTGGATTTGGGTCAATTTCACCCGTGAGTTTAACGAGAAGTATTTGCCACCAATTGTTCAAGAAAGACGGGAAGAGGACCTTATCCGCCTGCGTCAAGGGCCGTTAAGTGTGGCAGAGTACGAGACACAATTTACCAAACTCTCTCGTTTTGCTCCAGAATTAGTACTAACAGATCAAAAGAGAATTCGTCGGTTTGTCCAGGGTTTAAACGTGGAAATACAAGAGGCACTGGCGGCTGCCCAGTTGAATACATTCAGCCAGACCCTGGAAAAGGCACAGCGAATAGAGACGGCAAGGAGTCAGGTGAAAGCTTTCCGTGACAAGAAGAGAACACCATCTGATACTTATACCTACACTGGTGGGCAAAGCTCGGGAAGCGAGCCACCTAATAAGAGGAGTAAGGAAGCCGATGGTACACGACTAGTGGGGACTCCGAATCAAGGTAAAACAAGGGAAGATCAGGTTCGAAAAGGGCCCCAAAGTGGTGTCTCACATGGGGAATCGATGTTCGGAACCAGAAGAGTATGTGATGTCTGTGGGGCCACTAACCATACGGAAGATACCTGTTGGAAGAAAGAGAAAAATCGGCGATGTTTCTGATGTGGTAGCAATGAACACCTAGTTGCTCAGTGCCCTCAGAAGTCGAGGGGAGGAAATAAATCAGGGACGAAGGGAACCATTTCTAGGCCGATCAGGAACACCAAAGGTATGAATTCGAGAACGAAATTCTTCTAAGAGGGGTAGGTTGTGAGATCCCGATTCGTCCTTAATTTTGAATAAGGATTATTAGTACTAAATTTTGCTATAAAATTTGATTTTAAGGATGATGGTAATTCTTTACATGTGATTTTGCTTTTAGAATCGAAAAACCTTAATTTGGAATTTTATTAAAACCCTAATTTCGCCAATGTTATAATGATTGTTTTATTGTTTTTATTATGGAGAAAGTATGATTAAGTATGGGAGGTTAAGATAATAAGGTGATTAGTGAAATGATTAAGTGTGACAAAGTATGTTGGATTAGAATAAGTTGTATCCTATGGAGTTAAGTGCAAGAGTTCCAAACATTTGTGGGCAAGAGTGTGAGAAAACAAAAAGGAAGTTGCAAGTAGGGCTGCAAACGAGCCGAGTCGAGTCGAGTTTTGAGCTAATCGAGTCGAGTCTCGACCAAATTTTACCAAGCTCGAGCTCGAGTTCGAACTCGACGAGCTGGCAATTTTCGAGCTCGAGCTCGAAAAAAATAAAAAAAAATATTTTATATAAAAAAAATAAATAAAAAAATATTTTTTTCTGAATAAATAATAAAATATTAAGGATATATACGTAATTTCACCATGAAAATAAAAAATAAAAAAATATATATATATAATATACGTAATTTTATTATTAAATAAAAATAAAAATAAAAAAAATATATATATTCAAGCTCGCGAGCCGGCTAACGAGCTAACGAGCTTAATATTCTGAGCTCGAGTTCGAGCTTAGCTCGAGTTCGAGCTTAGCTCGAGCCGCTCGCGAGCCGCTCGATTCGCCGCTCGCGAGCCGCTCGATGCGTTTGCAGCCCTAGTTGCAAGGAATAGGAAGTGAATAATCATCTTTTATGTGATTGGTTGGTGGAAAATATCTCCTAATGGTCTTGACTAAGTATTAATTCTAGAACATCCAAGAGAACACAAGACATAAACCAAATCAAAAATTAAAGAGAGAGAGAAAAACCTTCATCTTCACTCCAATTTCTTACTTCAATCTTGAGTTTTAACCGATAGAATTGCAAATCACTCTATAAAAGTTGGCTACTAAGGTAGATTAAAGGATTGGGTGGAGTGATTTTGAAGGGACAAGCTCCAAGCTACTACCTTTCTTGTAGTTGTAAGGTATTTTGCCAAGAACATCCACTTTACTTCAATTAATTGATTATTAGTGATTTTTAGTGGTTTTAGATGTTGTTTTGTGGAAGATTAGCACTTGAATGCATGAATTCCAGATTTCTGGAAAATTGTAGCCCTATTCTGTTCGGTTTTAGTGCTCCATGTTAGAGGCCGAATTAGGCTTACCACAAAATATGAAAGTTGTATAGAATGATGATTTATAGGTGCCTACAAAATTTCAGCTCAATCGGAGCAACGTAGCCTATGAAAATACCAAAATACCCCTGCTGCCCTGTTTCTATCCGAACATGCTAATCAGCATCTGTAATTGGTTGTTTTGACCAGTAATACTACTGCTTTGGTTGTTGATGTCTTCTTAAGACTTATACCCTTGTATTCTAGCTTTCAAATGGCTTTGGAATTACATAAATTGGAGTTGTGTGTGCTGAGATATGAGTGAATAAAGCAGGACTGCTAGTTGATTTCTGCAGTGAATTTCGAACTGGAAAATATGGAGTTGTTTTGTTAAATTTGACCTAGTTAGGGTGAGAACTGGACTGAGTGGCCTTCATGAAAGTTGTAGCTTCTTAAGTTCTTGATGTGCCTGCAAACTTTCAGGTCAAACGGATCAGTGTAGTCCGAGTTATAGCCAAAAACACTTGCACCTATTTTGTACACTGGATTGTGTTACGCTTTTTAATTTCGCTTATGACCATACTCAGTTTGTTTTGATAATGTCCGAATTGGGTGTTGACCCCTTCATAATAAATGTAGATCTTGGTCTTAGCTTCAAAACGGTATAAAGTGCATCCAAATCCGAGTTCCGTAGCTTCAGTTATGACCAGAATAAGATCGGTTGTCAGAACTGCCTTTGAATTTGGACAGTTCTGACAGGAATTTTGAACCCCTTTTTCCCTATGCTTCGTACTGATTCAGTTTTGGGTCAAAATACAAAAGTTATAGCCTTATGTCTTTGCTTTCCAATGCCTTTGGAATTTCTTAATTTGGATTTGTGAGTTGTGAGTTATGGTCCAGCAAACAAACCCTGTCCGTCACCCTAAAATGTAAATTTCTGGTACGGTTTTCCATAATTTCGACCTGCTTCCATTCACATCTAGATTAAGGTGTCTTCATAAAATTATAGCCCTTATTCTTAGCTTCACAGCAGTACCCAATGCATTTCAATCCGATAACCGTAACCTGAAATTTGATCAAAACGGTTCTAGGTGCCAAATCTACCATTTCCGTTGCCGGCCGTTTATGTTTTCGTTTGCCATTTCCGCACATGCATGTGCCAATTTTGCCGTTTTGCTTAATTTGTGCACTTTAGTTGTTGTTTGTGTAATAATATGGCTCAACCTTCTGCTACAGGCGGTGACGGGTTAGACGGAGTCGGTGGGGCCCACTAACTGGCGACTTGAACATTTCCGTACTTTCTCTTGTTACACTTGCTCTTTAGGTGAGTAATCAGGGTTTCTGTGTAACTCAATACTAATATGAGTTTACTATGAAAAATGGGTACTTAGACGAGGGTGTACTTTATCGCATTCGATCTAAGACCCATTAGTTGCTCTTGATATCTGTGAAATATGATTTTTTGTGATTTGTTATGGAGCATTTATTGCTTGTGAAACATTTGCGGAGCATTTATTGCTTGTGACGCAATTTGAGAGCATTTATTGCTTGAACTAGAGCATTTATTGCTTGAACCAGAGCATTTATTGCTTGAACTACGATTTTAGAGCATTTATTGCTTGAAAAATATTTTGAGCATGTATTGCTCGTGATTTGAGCTGAGGCTCATGGTCTCTTTATCTGGGATCCTTTAAGAGAAGCGAGCTGTGTGGCTTAGGATCTCAAGGGTCAACCAGTGATCAAGCTTGACAAATGAGTTGGCTTGGGAGCCACCCGTATCCTTACCATGTGATGTTACTTTTTTGCTTTGGTTTTGCTCTCACTGTGTAAATGTTGACATGTAAAAAATTATATTTTTACCCCTAGTTAGTCACTAAACTTCTAGCTTACCCCTTTTCTTTTGTTTTCCTTAGCAGGGCCGACGCGGGGAAATTTTGGCACCATCACTAGTATAGTTAGGCTTCGTTTGTAATCTCCGAATAGTTAAAATATTTTTCCCTATTATAGTGATCCGTGTACGGACCTTTCTTAGGGTCCACTCTTTGGTTTTGGTTATAATAATAAGGATGTAATGGTCTGAGTAGTTGCTTTTGGGGATGTAAATAGAACTCTTTTGTCGATGTATATAATATGAATAGTACTCTTTTGCCGTGTGAATAGCTTTTATTTGCTTTTGCCTCTGAGTCCCGGCGAGAGTTGGACAGGCGGTCCGCCGAACCCTTTGGTACGCCTTAGGGGGAGGTGGGGCTGTCACAAGTGGTATCAGAGCGTAGGTTTCAGATCTTTGTAGTGCATCCGAGGTTTCAACGTTTAGGATGCCGGACTGTGGGGTATTTGGCTATTAAGGTAAATATTGAATGCTAGGATTTTGATATTGGACTTTTGTAATTTTCCCATAAGGCAAAGTGGGGATTGAGTTGATTGCACTTGGAGATGGCCAGTCCCAGTGTGAATTGACTTGGTTCTTACTTAATGTTACAGTTAGCTATTTGGATCTATTCTTTAGGTGTGCACCCTAGGGCCGTCGGGGCGGTGCTGGTAGATTAGGTGGGCTCCGCAGGGGAGTTGCGTTAGGGCCATTGACTTGAATTATTTTGTTGTCCTGTTGATTTGTTTTGAAATCGATGTGTTCAGTGTTTTGATACTAACCGCATTTTGGCTAATTTGTGCATATCTTTGGCGTAAACCTGTATATGCATGTCCAAAAATCTTGATCGTTTCATGTGTTTTATGTGTTGTTTTATATGGTAAAGTTTTCAAAACAAATGGAAGCCGGTGGCCGAGGTGGAGGTAGGGGGCGAGGCCGAGGCAGAGGAAAAGGTAGGGGATGGAGACCAGAACCCGAAAGGGTAGAAAATGAAAATGCGAACCACTAAATAGCTACAGCCATACAACGGATGGCAGATTTGCTGGCACGAATAGTAGACCAACAGGGTCAGGGTCATGGGAATAATGCCGGAAACCCTGGAAATAATCCGAGCAATCACGAGGGAGTGGACCGTGCCTTAGAATGGTTTCAAAAATTTGCACCTCCAAAATTCATAGGTGGACCAAGCCCTGACTTAGCTGAGGGATGGATGGACCGCATGATGGATATATTCGCTGCGCTCGGGTATCCAGAGGAACGGCAAGTATCTTTTGCTGTCTTCCAATTTAAGGGACCAGCCCGAGCATGGTGGAACGTAATAAAGGCTAAGTGGAAACGAGAGCAGACCCCCTGGACTTGGGTCAATTTCACCCATGAGTTTAACAAGAAGTATTTGCCACCGATTGTTCAAGAAAGGCAAGAAGAGGACTTTATCCGCCTGCGTCAAGGGCCGTTAAGTGTGGCAGAGTACGAGACACAATTTACAAAACTCTCTCGTTTTGCTCCAGAATTAGTACTAACAGACCGAAAGAGAATTCGTCGGTTTGTCCAGGGTTTAAAAGTGAAAATACAAGAGGCACTGGCGGCTGCCCAGTTGGATACATTCAGCCAGACCCTGGAAAAGGCACAGTGAATAGAAACAGCAAGGAGTCAGGTGAAAGCTTTCCGTGACAAGAAGAGAACACCATCTGATACCTATACCTACACTGGTGGGCAAAACTCGGGAAGCGAGCCACCTAATAAGAGGAGTAAGGAAACCGATGGTACACGACTAGTGGGGACTCCGAATCAAGGTAAAACAAGGGAAGATCAGGTAGGAAAAGGGCCCCAAAGTGGTGTCTCACATGGGGAATCGATGTTCGGAACCAGAAGAGTATGTGATGTCTGTGGGGCCACTAACCATACGGAAGATACCTGTTGGAAGAAAGAGAAAAATCGGCGATGTTTCCGATGTGGTAGCAATGAACACCTAGTTGCTCAGTGCCCTCAGAAGTCGAGGGGAGGAAATAAATCAAGGACGAAGGGAACCATTTCTAGGCCGATCAGGAACACCAAAGGTATGAATTTCGGGGTTGAAATTCTTCTAAGAGGGGGAGGTTGTGAGATCCCGATTCGTCCTTAATTTTGAATAAGGATTATTAGTGCTAAATTTTGCTATAAAATTTGATTCTAAGGATGATGGTAATTCTTTACATGTGATTTTACTTTTAGAATCGAAAAACCTTAATTTGGAATTTTATTAAAACCCTAATTTCGCCAATGTTATAATGATTGTTTTATTGTTTTTATTCTGAAGAAAGTATGATTAAGTATGGGAGGTTAAGATAATAAGGTGATTAGTGAAATGATTAAGTGTGACAAAGTATGTTGGATTAGAATAAGTTGTATCCTATGGAGTTAAGTGCAAGAGTTCCAAACATTTGTGGGCAAGAGTGTGTGAAAACAAAAAGGAAGTTGCAAGAACTAGGAAGTGAATAATGATCTTTTATGTGATTGGTTGGTGGAAAATATCTACTAATGGTCTTGACTAAGTATTAATTCTAGAACATCCAAGAGAACACAAGACATAAACAAAATCAAAAATTAAAGAGAGAGAGAAAAACCTTCATCTTTCACTCCAATTTCTTACTTCAATCTTGAATTTTAACCGATAGAATTGCAAATCACTCCATAAAAGTTGTCTACTAAGGTAGATTAAAGGATTGGGTGGAGTGATTTTGAAGGGACAAGCTCCAAGCTACTACCTTTCTTGTAGTTGTAAGGTATTTTGCCAAGAACATCCTCTTTACTTCAATTAATTTCTTATTAGTGATTTTTAGTGGTTTTAGATGTTGTTTTGTGGAAGATTAGCACTTGAATGCATGAATTCCAGATTTTTGGAAAATTGTATCCCTATTCTGTCCGGTTTTAGTGCTCCATGTTAGAGGCCGAATTAGGCTTAGCACAAAATATGAAAGTTGTATAGAATGATGATTTATAGGTGCCTACAAAATTTCAGCTCAATCGGAGCAACGTAGCCTGTGAAAAGATCAAAATACCCCTGCTGCCCTGTTTCTATCCGAACATGCTAATCAGCTTCTGTAATTGGTTGTTTTGACCAGTAATACTACTGCTTTGGTTGTTGATGTCTTCTTAAGACTTATAGCCTTGTATCCTAGCTTTCAAATGGCTTTGGAATTACCTAAATTGGAGTTGTGTGTGCTGAGATATGAGTGAATAAAGCAGGACTGCTAGTTGATTTCTGCAGTGAATTTCGAACTGGAAAATATGGAGTTATTTTGGTAAATTTGACCTAGTTAGGGTGAGAACTGGACTGAGTGGTCTTCATAAAAGTTGTAGCTTCTTAAGTTCTTGATGTGCCTGTAAAATTTTCAGGTCAAACGAATCAGTGTAGTCCGAGTTATAGCCAAAAACACTTGCACCTATTTTGTACACTGGATTGTGTTACGCTTTTTAATTTTGCTTCTGACCATGCTCTGTCCGTTTTGATAATGTACGAATTGGGTGTTGACCCCTTCATAATAAATGTAGATCTTGGTCTTAGCTTCAAAACGGTATAAAGTGCATCCAAATCCGAGTTCCGTAGCTTCAGTTATGACCAGAATAAGATCGGTTGTCAGAACTGCCTTTGAATTTGGACAGTTCTGACAGGAACTTTGAACCCCTTTTTCCCTATGCTTCGTACTAATTCAGTTTTGGGTCAAAATAAAAAGTTATAGCCTTATGTCTTAGCTTTCCAATGCCTTTGGAATTTCTTGATTTGGATTTGTGAGCTGTGAGTTATGGTCCAGCAAACAAACCCTGTCCGTCACCCTGAAATGCAAATTTCTAGTACGGTTTTCCATAATTTCGACCTGCTTCCATTCAGATCTAGATTAAGGTGTCTTCATAAAAATTATAGCCCTTCTTCTTAGCTTCGCAGCAGTACCTAATGCATTTCAATCTGATAACCGTAGCCTGAAATTTGATCACAGCGGTTCTAGGTGCCAAATCTACCGTTTCCGTTGCCGGCCGTTTATGTTTTCGTTTGCCATTTCCGCACATGCATGTGCTAATTTTGCCGTTTTGCTTAATTTGTGCACTTTAGTAGTTGTTTGTGTGATAATATGGCTCAATCTTCTGCTACAGGCGGTGACGGGCTAGACGGAGCCGGTGGGGCCCACTAGCTAGCGACTTGAACATTTCCGTACTTTCTCTTGTTACACTTGCTCTTTAGGTGAGTAATCAGGGTTTCTGTGTAACTCAATACTAATATGAGTTTACTATGAAAAATGGGTACTTAGGCGAGAATGTATTTTATCGCACTCGATTTAAGACCCATTAGTTGCTCTTGATACCTGTGAAATATGATTTTTTGTGATTTGTTATGGAGCATTTATTGCTTGTGAAACATTTGCGGAGCATTTATTGCTTGTGACGCAATTTGAGAGCATTTATTGCTTGAAATAGAGCATTTATTGCTTGAACCAGAGCATTTATTGCTTGAACTACGATTTTAGAACATTTATTGCTTGAAAAATATTTTGAGCATGTATTGCTCGTGACTTGAGCAGAGGCTCATGGTCTCTTTATCTGGGATCCTTTAAGAGAAGCGAGCTGTGTGGCTTAGGATCTCAAGGGTCAACCAGTGATCAAGTTTGACAAATGAGTTGGCTTGAGAGCCACCCGTATCCTTACCATGTGATGTTACTTTTTTGCTTTGGCTTTGCTCTCACTGTGTAAATGTTGACATGTAAAAAATTACATTTTTACCCCTAGTTAGTCACTAAGCTTCTAACTTACCCCTTTTCTTTTGTTTTCCTTAGCAGGGCCGACACGGGAAAATTTTGGCACCATCACTACTATAGTTAGGCTTCGTTTGTAATCTCCGAATAGTTAAAATATTTTTCCCTATTATAGTGATCCGTGTAAGGACCCTTCTTAGGGTCCACTTTTTGGTTTTAGTTATAATAATAAGGATGTAATGGTCTGAGTAGTTGCTTTTGGGGATGTAAATAAAATTCTTTTGCCGATGTATATAATATGAATAGTACTCTTTTGCCGTGTGAATAGCTTTTATTTGCTTTTGCCTCTGAGTCCGGGCGAGAGCTGGGCAGGCGGTCCTCCGAACCCTTTGGTATGCCTTAGGGGGAGGTGGGGCTGTCACAATGACTCCTTGATCGTTTGCCTTCTAGTGTTAGTTTCTTGTTACAGAAATTTAAAGATGTTTTCCCCGAGAAGATACCTGGTGGGTTACCATCTATTCAGAGGATTGAGCACCAAATCGATTTCATCCCTGGTGACTCCTTGTCTAACAAATCAGCTTATCGCATGGGGCCTGAAGAAACAAAGGAAATACAAAGGCAAGTTGATGAGTTGTTGGACAAAAGATGGGCTTGAGAAATATGAGTCCTTGTACAGTTCCAGTTATTCTCGTCCTAAAGAAACAAGAAACGTGGTATATATGCGTTGATTGTAAAGCTGTAAATGCCATAACGGTAAAGTATCATCACTCTATATCTCGTTTAGATGACAAGTTAAATGAGCCACATGGTACTGTAATTTTTACATAGATTAATCTTAAAAGGGTCTACCATCAAATTCAAATGGAAGAGGGTGATTAACGGAAAATTGCTTTTAAAATTAAGTATGATCTATATGAGTGGTTAGTTATGCTATTCGGGTTAACTAATGCTCCTAGTACTTTCATGCGTTTAATGAATCATGTGCTTAGACCATTTTTAGAAAAATTTGTGGTTGTTTATTTTGATGATATTTTAATTTACAGCAAGAGTTTAAATGAACATCTTGGACATTTGCGAGTTGTACTTAATATTCTTAATAAAGAGCGCTTATATACTAATCTTAAAAAGTGTCTTTTGCACTAGAAAACTCACATTCGTTGAATATGTTGTTAGTGAACAGAGAATTCGAGTTGATGAGAGCAGCAAAATCAAGGCCATTAATGAGCGTCCGCCTCCTAAGAATGTTGGAGAGACAAGGAGCTTCTATGACCTGGTAAGTTTCTATCGAAAGTTTGTTAAGGATTTCAGCACTATTACTATACCTTTAACAGCCATCATCCAGAAGGATGAGAAGTTCCAATAGGGCGAAATCCAAGATAAGGCGTTCCAACTCCTTAAATAGAAGTTCACACATGCACCTTTACTTTCTTTATCAAACTTTGATAAAGTTTTTGAAATTGAGTGTGATGCTTTGGATATAAGAATTGGAGCCGTGCTAACTCAAGAGAGAAAGCCAACTGCTACTTTAGTGAAAAATTAAATGATGATGCCTTGAGCTACTCAATGTACGACAAAGAGTTATTTGAATTGGTGTGAGCATTAAAGACTTGGCAACACTATTTTTGGCCTAAGGAACACATCACACACACGGATCATGAGTCGCTCAAGCATCTAAAAACTCAACACAAATTGAGTAAGCGGCATGCAAGGTAGGTTACTTTTTGTGAAGACGTTTCCTTATGTGATTAAGTACAAGACGGGTAAGGCTAATATCGTCGTTGATGCCTTATCTAGACGGTATTATTTACTTACTTTACTTGACACCAAATTGCTTGGTTTCAACCTACTTAAAAAGGTTTATGAAACTGATCATGACTTTTCTAGCATATACAAGTCGTGCATGTCTTTA